TGGATAAACACTACTAAAGCATATATAAAGATACCAAAACATAAATGAGAGTTACTAAAGCATTACAATGTTACAACCAATGGAACAACAGGTGTAATTGTAGTGCAAGTAAGGAGCAATCACTATTATGATGTCATATCCCACCTGCTTATCTCATTCATCACATGATTGGCTGGAGTCCAGTAATAACTGTTTGCATCCTTACTGTAGCACTTATAGAATATGCAATAAATTGTGGTTTTCATACAGAACCTGTTGCACAATGTATGTATAAAACCTTTTCTCCTTATACAAAACTACCCTGTGCCTAGGTACATTTTATAACACAATAAGTTTGATACATTTTTATAGAAAAAGAGCCACTATTCACAATAGGAAACTAACATACATGAACAATATAGGATGAATACACATAGATAAAAACAGAACAATTCCCTCTGTCATTTTGGCAGAATGCCCTCTCCTTAACCAAGATAAACTCTTCCAATTTAGTAATAGTTCTGAAAAGGAAAGTAGGAATGAGAATGGATGTGACACACTCAAAAAGGAGGCAGCAAAGTGCTTATCACTTTACTGCTGTTTGCACCAAAATGGAAAAAGAAAGAAATTAGCTTCATTAAACTTGAGAAACTTTCCTGTAAAACCATACATGTTCTTTATATGAAAATATTTCCCAAGAATAAAAGTGGACTGTTTTCATCTGTAAAAAAAATGCTTTAATTTTTACTTATCTTTCTGTATATTTAAATATAGGTTCCACAGTTTTAAGGTTTGTTCTACTACTTTTTTATCATTCAAAGTTTGAAATATAGCAACTCACATTGTACATCTTACACAAATATCATAAAGTGAGTCATTGCCGTGGTTTTACAGTTAATACAAAATAAGATATGTATTCCATTGTATAAAAATAATCAATGGAACAACTTTTAAGAGCAACAAGTTAACCAGACACTCATCATGATAACCAGAACTGGAGATGAGCAAAAAAAAAAAAAACATTAGTAAGTTGAGCCTTAGGTTAAGGGATGTATGAGAGGAGAGGTGGATGCAACACAAGTCAGATCAGACCCAGCAAACCCAGAGGACAGCTAGTGGAGTCAAATATTGATCAAGTATCTTCTGTCCTCCTGATCCAATCCTGAACCGTGCTGACCACACGCACGCCTCCTCCAGAACAAAACTCCAAGCAGCATTAGTAAGGTGTGGGAGTATAGTCTTATGATTCTTTGAGGCTGGCATTGAGAGGTAGTGTAACAAGAAGACTTTGGGAGAAAAGGTTATAGATACACCAGTAAAGTTAGTTAAAATAATGAATGGCTAGATGTCCAATATGGCTGTATGAGGGCCCAGTTCGTGTTTACACCACCAAAATTTGGTATCCTTATGTACGGCACATGAAGCTAAGTTGAATTTTACTGTGTTTATCTTCTACATGACATCAACTGAAAATTAAAAACCATTTTAATAACAATATTAACCCTTACAGAACACGGAGCTTCATCTATTCGTTCATCATCTGCTTCTTTGCACTTCTGGTTTTCCCATTGACTCCTCAATCCCACTTGCCTGAAGTCCTATTTTAATAAATTCCAAAAACATATCTAATATGTGCTGAATAAAATGCAGAGTCAATCACTCTTGTTACAGGATGAGATGAGGATCAATTGAATTACCGATAAATATGTTCTGCTTCCAAACAGAAGAAACAAGGCATGAATGGCAATGAATCTCGAAAACAGTTTTTTTTTCCTTCTAAATACAGCTAAGACTCTTGAAAAATTGAACTCAGGAACTATGAAAATCACAATATACACTATGCGAGCATAATTTACAATGTAATGAAAGTTTGAAAAATGATGTTGTGGAGGTGTGCCTGATGGGAAAAAATAAGCACTGTGGAAAATGGTTAGTGGTCTGATAAATGCAGAGCGGCAGTAGCAGTTACAGATTCATGTGCTCACTATACTATTCTTAATGCTAAAGAATGTTTTTAAAATGTGTTTTTTAAAATTTATGATTTGCCTGATAATGCATTCAAAAGGTCCATAAATATCTACAAAAATAAATCTAGAATGCAAATGATCAGGCTTCCAAATATTTAACTCTCCAAAAAAAAAGTCTCCCTCATCTGTCCTGGGCTCAAAGAGGTAAGAGTGAAGGTTACTGTCATAAAGTTACCGAGCATTGCAAATGGTATCAAAATGTTCACAAGTCCTTAGAAGACAAGACTAACGCTATTTATGGAATAGAACTTAGAATGATGTAAGGAAAAGAGAGACAGTACATGATACTGTGTAACTAAATGAGAGTCACTGACTGAGGGTGAAATTGTGTGAGTATTCACATTTAATTACCTTCAGTAGAGCTTAACTCTAAATGTATGTAATGCTAATAATTTACTTTTAAAGGACCACTATAGTGCCAGGAAAACATACTCGTTTTCCTGGCACTATAGTGCCCTGAGTGTGCCCCCACCCTCAGGGTCCCCCTCCCGCCCGGCTCTGGAAGGGGGAAAGGGGTTAAAACTTACCTTTTTCCAGCGCTGGGCGGGGAGCTCTCCTCCTCCAATCCTCCTCTTCTCCTCCCATGCGGCTGAATGCGCACGCGCGGCAAGAGCTGCACGTGCATTCAGCCGGTCACATAGGAAAGCATTATCAATGCTTTCCTATGGACGCTTGCATGCTCTCACTGTGATTTTCACAGTGAGAAGCACGCAAGCGCCTCTAGTGGCTGTCAATGAGACAGCCGCTAGAGGAATTGGGGGAAGGTTTAACCCATTCATAAACATAGCAGTTTCTCTGAAACTGCTATGTTTATAAAAGAATGGGTTAAGCCTAGCTGGACCTGGCACCCAGACCACTTCATTAAGCTGAAGTGGTCTGGGTGCCTAGAGTGGTCCTTTAACTGAGAGTTGAGTCATCATTTCATGATAAAATCATTTCACCTGTGGCAGTTACAGTGTTTGGATAACAGTAAAAATGTTTTAGGATATTTTTCAGAAATATCATATTTTGCTATTTAGAAGTAAGCACTGAGTTAGTGATGTTATTATTAATGACACTCATATACTGACTGCTCATGGATGGAGGGCTGAGCTGAATTTGTTGAGAATTGAATCGCTTCTTGAATAGCTATCAGATACACTGGTGCTACTACTACTGGACTATAATTCTAGATTACAAGACAATGTACTATGACGTACATGATGAGCTGCACTATGAAACTCCAATGGTTTGCATTTTTAACACGATAGGCTTAGAAACACAAAATGTATTCCTGACCTTAGAGTGTTAAAACCACCATCTACCCCTCCCCCCTCCCCCCACTGGCCCCTGCTAACCCCCTTAAATATAGTGTCATCTTACCTTTATTCAAGTCTGCTGCTGCTGGCTCTGTCCCTAATCTGCCTGCTTGGCTGACATAATCAGAAGTGATTCTCTGAACCAATCACATGCGTTCCCATAGGATTGGCTGAGACTGTCAAGGAGGCAGATCAGGGGCAGAGCCAGCACAAGCCAAACACAGCCCTGGCCAATCAGCATCTCCTCATAGAGATGCATTGAATAATCTGTATGATGAAAGTTCAGTGTCTCCATGCAGATGATGGAGACACTAAATGGCAGTGCCCCAGGAAGCACCTCTAATAGCCATTTGAGGAGTGGCAAGGGGATTTATTCCTAGGATGTAATGTAGACACTGCATTTTCTCTAAAAAGACAGTGTTTATTGCCAAAAATCCTGAAGGGAATGATTATACTCACCAGAACAAATACAATAAGCTGTAGTTGTTCTTTGTGACTAGAGTGTCCCTTTAAGTTTCAGATATGGTATCCCAGTGTAGTACATCTTCCCATGCTAATGATATGTAAATTAGAGCTATGTTCATCAGAAAGCATATTGAACACAAGCAATGGATGAGAGCATTATACAGTAAATAGAGTGAGCAGTGGGTTCATGAAAGGAATAAAATGCATAGCTACACTGTTGATGCTAGCTGTATAACAATTCATCTCTGGAAGGCTCCCCACCCCACCCCATGGTCATCACCATACTTATAGATAGTGCAGATCAGCTAGTTTTCAAAACACACCAATCAAGTCACTAAACCCCTCCACACCTGAAATCTCTCTGTTAAGAAACTGCATGCTTTAACCACCATTAGCTATATGCGTGTGTGTATATATGTGTCACGGTTCTCACCGTGACATCCTGATGGTCAGTTGTGGCCATTCCACAGGTTCCAAAAAAAGGAGTTTGAACTCTGGACTCTTGCTGCCTTAGTCCTGCTGTCTTGTCTCCGAGACACACTTCAGTTCATGTTCCTGCCTGATGTCCTATCTTTCCTTGTCTGCAGCACTAGGAGGCTGGACTTTACCTGTGGCTGCTCCTGTCTCTCTATGCCGACCTGAGCCAGATAGCTCATTAGCAAGGTATTTAAACCTGCCTCTCCATAAGAACATTGCCAATTCTTTGATTCTAGTGATCGTGTGTTGTTCCTATTTTGTCTCCTGATACTTGTTCTACAGATTGACCCCGGCTCCTGACCTTGGCTTTCCTCCTTGTTTATTCTGACCTTTGGCATCCTCTGGCTTTGGCTTATCCTCCACGATCCTTCTGCTTGTGTCCTTGGTCCCCTTCTATTTTCTCTTTAACTTATTACCTCATTTGGATTCCACTACCACCTGTACGCTGATGACACCCAGATATATCTCTCCTTCCCGGACTTCTCCCCTACCGTCCTGCAACGTGTGACTGCTTGCCTTTCTTCCATATTTGACTGGAGGTCTGTAACGGATCGCCTGGCACCCCGACTGGGTACCTCCGTTAAAGGATGCTCCTAGTGCTTCCTGAGGACTCCAAGCACTGCAGCAGACACCACAACCACCGAACCGGAGAAGCATTTGAATCCTCTCAAGCATATGAATGCTGTAGACAGTTGAATAGGAACCATACGAATAGGTTTACTCTCCTAGCAGTCAAACTGGAACAGCATACAATAAATCCTTCCCCCAATAATGAGACGACACTTCACTTTGAGGGCTAAAACAGGAACTCCCTGTACTGTCACATACAGTCTCTTTTATTCCCAATCCACAAACATAGTACAGCCCACAGGGTGTTACAAAACAACCAATCAATCCGTACAATACACCCAGACACTCCCACACAAACTCCTCCCCTCTGCCTGTGATATGATTACTGAACACAATGGGTAATCTCATTATCACCGGCAGAGGAATACAGTTTTCACACAATATTTATAACTTCTAAAATATACATGTCACAAACATAAAGCATACATTTTCATAATCAATCTATTCAGGGGAACAACATATTAAAAAATGGCACGAATCAGATGAGGGGTTCAAAAGTTAAGGGAAAGTCCTTTGTGACTAAATGAAGCATGGCTTTCCGGCCCAAACCAGTTTCAGAGTCTTCTATCCTGGAGATTGAATTGAGAAGTAATTCAATTATCTCCCAGGAAAGACACAAGACTCCATTATGCACATAGTGAGCACAAAGCATTAAAATATTATAAAATACACAAAGTCACATTTTATACATAAAACACAGACATGTCACATATCCCCAGATAGCTGGGATCTGAACGCACAAAACTACCGAATAGCGCTCAGATCCTATTCACACAGTTCAATTGCCATGGAGCCGAAGTCTTTAACTACACGAATGGGCTCCATGGCATAGCTATCTGGGTTAATACATTCACATAAAGTCTGGTCCATAGTCCAAAGGCAAGAGGCAGGCAAGCAGCCCCCTCCAAGGACACGTGGCACGCCACAAGGTCCTTCTGCTTTCTGAAACTGAATCTTTCTAAAACTGAGCTCCTTGTCTTTCCTCCTCCTAATACTTATCATCCTCCTTTCACTTTCCCTTCAAGTCAGTGGTATCCACATCAGTCCATCCTTGCAAGAGCGCTGTCTTGGTGGAATACTTGATTTTTGCCTCCCCTTTGAGCCTCACAAGCAGCATGTTACCAAATCCTGTAGATTCCATCTTAAAAACAAAGCCCCATCCGCCCCTTTCTTACGCATGATGCTACTAAGGAGCTTGTCCATGCTCTAGTAATTTCCCGCATAGATTATTGTAACCCTCTCCTAATTGGTCTTCCCAAAAGCTGTATTGCCCTACTACAGTCTGTAATGAATGCTGCTGCCAGACTAATTTTCCTCTCCAGTCGGTCCTCTCACACCTCACCCCTCTGTTAGTCCTAACATTGGCTTCCTGTATCCTATAGGTGTCAATTCAAATTGCTAACCCATACCAATAAAGCACTGACCCATTCCAGCCCCTCTTCTATCTTCTCACAGATCCATACGTATGCCCCTTCCCAGTCTCTCCACTCTACCCGTGATCACCTCCTGTCCGCTGTTCGAACCCATACGGCCATCTCACGCTTGCAGGACTTCTCGAGGGCGGCTCCCTTCCTATGTAATAGCCTGCCTACTGCCTTCAGACTCTCCCCTGGTCTTCAATCATTTAAGAAGCACCTTACAACCCATCTCTTTAGGAAAACTTATGGCCTCCCAGAGTAACCTCTACCTTGCATACCTGTCTCTTGCTTTTTTCTGAAGGGCAGCACTTTACTCTCTCCTCCAGCTCTGCTTTATTCCCATCTTATTTGATTGCTATTTCCTGTCCTATTGTGTTTCACACCCCACTTCCTATAGACCGTAAGCTCATTTGAGCAGGTTCCTCTTCAACCTAACGGTTCTGTAAGTTTTCTTGTAATTGTCCAATTTAGTTAAATCCTCCCTCTTATAACATTGTAAAGCACTACGGAATCTGTTGGTGCTATACATATGGCAATAATAATAATATCAAATTCTCTAGCCAACATTATAGAAGAAAAGTGAAGGTTTCCAACCAAGGTACTGATGGTCACAGTAAAATTTAGAAATTCGTTCTTTTTTTATTCTTTGTAGAACATTTTTCTTTTTTCTTTTTTTATTCTTTATAGAACATTTTTCTTTTTTTCTTTTTTCTTTCATATGATAACAGACATTAAAACATTTTTCTTGTTTCTTTTATAAAATAACAGACATTAAAATAGACCTGCACATAACATTTCTGCCTCACTCTTGCTTAGTATTCTCCGTTATCTACTAATTCTACAAAGGGAGGCTAAAGGGTAACAAAACATATATAACACCCGATAACTAACATCATACAAAAAAAAAAAAAAAGCAGCAGCAGAACGTGGAAAGGAGTACATTCTTTATAGATTATACCATTATTGGTGAATCAACCTTTACGTGTCAGGGTCATTCCAACCATATTTTTTATGTCCTCTATCCTTTTACTAATTCATTCCCTATCTCCTTTGGTACTGAAATTATTTAAATGAGTGAGACTACACTCCATTACCAATTGATGGTTTATTTGTTTTTTGATCTCACTTCAGGTAGAGGGTTCTAATTGCCTCCACCTACGTGCTATCACAATTTTAACTGCGACAAAGCAATTAGTTACAAAGAATTGATCTATTTTAGTTAAATTTGACCATTTTAAATGAAGGACAGCTACTGTAGGTGACCTTGTAAGTCAAGGGACATCTATTTGTGCAAGACTTTAAAATATTTTATTCCAGACTCTAAGAATCTTTGGGCAGAAACAACATATATGAATATATGAGCCCTCCTCAGCATATATTTGAATTAGTGACTGATATCTTTTATAGCTTATCTGAGGTAAAGTACCATTTATAGATTACCTTAACATGGGTCTCCAGATAATTTAAACAATGTATATTTTTTGTTACCATGTGGAGACCTTTCGCCCATTTGGTTATATCAATTTGATGACACAAAATTTTTCCCATCTGGGAATTACCGATATTTCCAAGGGAGACATAGTTGATACATATTCCATTGAGCTTGACATGGGTCTACTTACAGTATCTCCACTTAACAGAATAGATAACCTAAATTCATGCTCAGTTGTAAGATCCTTTTTATAAAGATCTATAAAGTTTTTAATTCTCAAAAATGAAAATAATTTGTTATTTGGGAGAGGAAATTCTGTTTGTAATTGAGGGAATATTTTGATATTAATACCTTCCATAAGTTGGTTTATTTTTTTTATGCCGTGTCTTATCCAATTTCTTAAAGGACCACTATAGTGCCAGGAAAACATACTCGTTTTCCTGGCACTATAGTGCCCTGAGGGTGCCCCCACCCTCAGGGTCCCACTCCCGCCTGGCTCTGGAAGGGGGAAAGGGGTAAAAACTTACCTTTTTCCAGCGCTGGGCGGAGAGCTCTCCTCCTTCTCTCCTCCTCCGATCCTCCTCCTGGGCTGGCTGCGCGCGCATTCAGCCGGTCGCATAGGAAAGCATTTACAATGCTTTCCTATGGACACTGACGTGCTCTCACTGTGATTTTCACAGTGAGAAGCACGCAAGCGCCTCTAGTGGCTGTCAATGAGACAGCCACTAGAGGAAATAGGGGAAGGCTTAACCCATTCATAAACATAGCAGTTTCTCTGAAACTGCTATGTTTATGAAAAAATGGGTTAGCCCTAGGAGGACCTGGCACCCAGACCACTTCATTAAGCTGAAGTGGTCTGGGTGCCTAGAGTGGTCCTTTAACATAATGTTTTCTATGTTCTCTTCAATTATCTCAATTTTGAAAAAAATTAAAAATTCTCTTTTCTAACTTAAACTTTTTCTTTAACCTATTCCACTGTTCCATTACAGTATGTACGATAAGGTTGTTTTCCCAACTCTGTTTTAAATTATTAGTGTGACGAGACCAATCACGCCACTGTGTATTGGAGGAGCCTGGTTGCCCGCCTGCTGCTTTTAGACTATGGCCCCATGTTGAAACGCTTAATTTTCCCCTGCAAAGACACGAAAGCCAGGTCATTCGATACTTGTCCTATTTGAAAAATGATACCCCAGATAGCTATGCCATGGAGCCCATTCGTAAAACGAAAGACTATGTGAAAGACTTTGGCTCCATGGTAATTGAACTGTATGTATGTGATCTGAGCGTCATTCAGTAATAATGTGCGCTCAGATCTAAGCTATCTGGGGATATTTTGAATGTACCTGTTTATGCAATAGCTGCACAGTTATATATTTTCTATGTATTTTATTGTCTTTTGCTACCATTTGGCTAATGGAGTTTTGCCTCTGTCCTTGGAGATAACTGGATTACTTCCCAATTAACTCCAGGATAGAAGACTCTGTGGAACTGGTTTTGGGCATAAAAGCCATGCTTCATTTGGTCACAAAGGACTTCGATCTAACTTTTGACCCACTGGACCAATTTGTATGCTTTTGATGCATGTTTGTATTTGGAGTATGCTGATTCTGAAAATGTAAGTTGTTTATGTGAATGTGATGCATACTTTTAAAGTTATGAATATTGTGTAAAACTGTGTATTTTCCTGCCTGTGATAATTACATTAACCCATTGTGTAAGGTAATTGTATCACAGGCAGAGGGGCGGATTTTGTGTGGGAGTGTATTTTACGTGTTTATTGGTTGTTTTACAAAACCCTGTGGGTGGTACTAATGTGTAAGAATGTTTATATAAGAACAATAAACCCACAGCTCTGCCTGTTCCTGTTTGACCCTCAACACGGAGCCTCGTCTCGTTCTTGGGGGTGGGGGATTTATTGTATGCTGTTCCAGTTCGACTGCTAGGAGTGTAAATCTTTCGTATGGTTTTTCCTATTTGTCTGTTTACAGCATTTGTATGTTTGAGAGCATTCATATGCTTCTCCGGTTCGGTGGATTGGTGTCTACAGTAGCTGCCTGTATATCTGGAAGGGAATATCTCCTAAACGGCTTTTAACCCCTTTTATGCCTGGGGGTGCGGTTACAATTACAATTTAATATTCCATATTGCGGTTTCCCAATTTTCCATACTAGTTATATCATGTTCAACTAGATACCAGAATTCTTTCTTATTATTTTGTAGTTGAGATCTATATATATATATGTGTTAAGATATTAGCTTTGTACAAATCTTCTACTAAAGACATATTAATTCCACCCTTTTTAGTTTACAATGCTAAACTATTTCTGCTTATTTTTGGGGGTCTACCTTTCCAAACAAATCCATCTACACTTCTCTGGATCATTATTATCCAAGGAGATGTTACCTTTAAGGGGATCATCTGGAAAAGGTAAGACCATTTCGGGCACAACATAATTTCTGAGATATTTACCCTTCCCCACCACGATTTTTCATGCAATCTCCATTCTTTTAACTTTTTATTAGTCTGTCTCAAAAGTCTTAAAAAGTTCACCTCCGT